GTTTTCTCTCTGTTTTGTGCGTGCGTTCGCTGATTTTGCCAGATTAGATGGTTATACGTTTGTGATTGATGGTTTTCTGGCTTCCCGGGAAGTTTTGGAATCGAGAAAGAAAAGGTGATACCTATATCTTGTTTGCAGGCATCAGAAGAGATGTCGCTATCTGCGTTGTTTTTTTTTTTCTTCGCTTGTGCTCCCGGTCCAGAAATTTGCGGCGTCACGAGTGATAGTTTTTGATTTCACAAGGAGATGCAAGTTGCCACTTGCACTTGGAGCAATCGACTACATTTGACCAGAGGATTGATCCCCGTAGGGCGGGTCTATGATCGGAGCTACTACAACAAGCGTGACAGAGCTGCTTGCAAGGGATTCACTTGGACTGATTTGGTGAGATTGTTCCTTTTTTCTTTGTTTGTCTACTTAAACTTAATTTCTATGAATCCGTATCGTTTGGAATCATTTGATTCGGATGATACTCTTAACTTATATTTTTTTAAATTGTGCCTCAATCAGTATTCTTAAAAACTTTTTAGGTCCCAATATTTAAATTGAGGAGCACGGCTAACCTGGTGGCTGCCGCTTTTGCTTACTGAGTAGAAGACCGTGGGTTTACTCCCAGACTCCTCGAAAATAAAACAGCTATCATGGTCGCATCGCCTGCTCAAGCGAATCTCCACCCATCTCCTACCCAACTATCCAACTCCGTTGCATCGATGGGGGCGTCGGTGAGTCGCTGGCCTCTCGTTAAGTAGATGTTACATCAACAATATCCTTCCTTTCCCCAGTAACGGAGAAGATGGTTGTGACCGGCAATGGTAATTGTCATGCTTTTCCTGTTCTTAACTTTGATTGGAGAGCTATCACTCCCAAATAGTTTTCCTTAAGCAATCAAAATAAAAACGTTAAAATTTATCTGTATAACTATTATTCACAAGCATTATAATATTCACATTACAGTTATGACCCGATCCTGTCAGCTTCTCCGTGCATCAGACTGTTAATTTTCAATAACTCCACATAATTGTAATTTCATACCTTCCTCCTTCAATATGGATGTTTATGATACACATACTTTGTTATTGTTTTAAATCAGTGCGCAAAACAGTCAGGTTCATTGAGTCATTTTGATATGAATATGAACTGCCATCTGCCTCATCATTCACTGCCTCGTGAAAGTCTGAATGATTCAGAGGTAAACGAGTCACTGACAGCCGAGCACTCAGTCAGTAGCTCAGTCAACACGTTTATTCTGCCGTGATGGTACCCAATATTTGTTTTGAATGACTGAGCGTGCATTTTCTATGGAAAAATGACTCAATTACATGCAGTGTGAGTGAATGCAAGTGGTGTGCGTCGCCTGCTCGTGAGTGACTGAATGTTTTTGTTGACTCTTTTATTGCCTCGTCCTTTACCGTTTGGTACAAACGGTCTGCACAGAGCAATGGATTGAATAGTGGAGTGCTTTCACACTCAGCCTAGGCAGCCCTAAGTTTGCACCTTTAGAATTGATAAAACGATCCATAAAATATTGAAAAACGTTCCATTACAAACATCCAAATGATCCATGAAACATCGGAGAAAATCCCTAAAAAAGTGTGGATGATCCATAAAAAATATCAATATTATCAATATTTTATGTGAAATTTAGCAACGCAATTGTAAAAATGTACCACTAAATTTCTAAATAATGAGCATTGGAATTGTACGAATTACCCATAAACATATTGCAATTGATCCATAAAACATTCAGCAATGAACCTTAAACTAAAGAAAGTGATCCATAAAAAATCAAGTTTGCACACTTAAAAATATATGCATGATCCATAAATTAGACGTATATTATTCATGTTTGGGACACTATTTTTTAAAATTTTGATCCATAAACCTTGAAAAATTGCTCCACTGCTTATCTACTTAGATTTACTGTGGAAGCTTCATTTAGAAACTTTTTAAGAAGCTTATTCTAGACGCTCGCCTATCGTTCTGCTCTTCTGACAAAAAAAAACACGGGTAGAACAGTAAATCTGAGTAGCTACGCAGTAATGTAGCAATTTTCCAAGGTTTATTGATCAAATTAAAAAAACATATGTATATAGACCGAGATATAGACTATAATTGGAACACACCAAAATAAGCACGTCTACCAACAACTGGAACACCTACCCTAGGTATGATCCATAAAATTAACATTTTTTTTTTCATTTTTTCTTAAGAAGATTATTATAGAAGCTTCTTTTGGAAGCTAATTCTAGACGCTTGACCATCGCTCCGCACATCTACCTAAAAACACGGCAGGACAGTAAATCTAAGTAGTTAAGCAGTAATGGAGCAATTTTTCATGGTTAATGGATCAAAATTAATAATACAGTGTCCAAAACGTGAATAATATACGTCTAATTTATGGATCATGGCTGTTCGGAATATCGGGATAACACTGTACCGCCAAGTCCAGTGATAACCCTGTTGGGGATTCAGAGAGCTACGGTAACGGTCGCTGTCAGAAATGACAGACGTCAGGTTTGGTTCAACGGAACTGTGAACTCACAGTTCCGTTAACCTTAGATAGGTCGGAGTATGAACGAGAAAAAAAGTGGAAAAGAAGACACAATTCCAAACCATTTAAAAAACGTTTTACAGCTAAATTATTTTAATTGCCTAAATTTGTTAATATACCTATCGTTTAATTAAATTGTAGTTATTTGTAGTGAACTAGCTACCAACAATCAATACGAAACTAACGATTTTAAATTGGCTCACTACTTGACTTGCCTATTGGTCCCAAGCAAATCGATTAACGTACCTCATTCTAGTCAAAATTATAGTACTACACAATGTTTGTTTTGATTCGCTATGAAAGTTTGACAGGTAAAATGAGGGGTTCGTGGATTTTCTCGTGTTTTATAGGGGTGCATCGATAAGCTTGGGACCGAAGATAGTACCAGAGCTTAGCCAAAAAGTTGAGCACATTTCTTCGGGACCTTCTGATCTTAAAGTTACCTCTATGTAGCTACTGAAGTAGGTTAGTTGGAGGTGGAATGCGTGCAAATATTGAATTTAATAACCCTATATTTGATTTTTTTTTTTTAATTATAGTCACTTTAACGCTCTTGGGTCATTCGTGACTTGTCCGGGGTGAGATTTGAACTCGTGACTTTGGCGTGAGAGGTATGAATGCTAACCACTACGCCCGGGTCACCCCCCCTATATTTGCTTAATCTAGATACTACAGTTTGATCCTAAAATCTGGTAACCTACAATTTGTTCCTAAACGCTATATACATGATTTACCCTAAGTAACTAGTAAGTAGCTCATTCTACATCGTTTGCGTGCTTAACTAAAATAATAATTGAATCCCTAAATGCTAAATCTAGCCAAATCTTTGTTGAAAGAGTGACGGAAGATAACTCTCGGTTTGAAAATCTCCCGCTCAGCCTCCTATCGCTTTTCATGGAGGAATTTCTCTTCCTCCAGCGCTTTCTTATTTGCGCTTTTCTCCTGCAGCAACTGGTCTAGGGATTCTTCCAGGCTGACCACATTGGTACTTCCTTTTCCAGATTCGGTTGCGGCATCACTCCTCACTCTATTATTTCTGCTAGGTGGTTTATTTGAGACAGACTTCTTGGTTCCTTTTGCCACATTATAAGCATTAAGATTGGTTTTGATTTTATATTAGTTTAATAAAACCTATTTCAGCTTCAAACTGTCCAAAACGAGACTGCTCTGAGGAAGTTGCTTTCATTAATACGAACATGGCTATATTTTTAAGTGCGCAAACATGATTTTCTATGGATCACTTTCTTTAGTTTAAGGTTCACTGCTGAATGTATTATGGATCAATTGCAATATGTTTATGGGTAATTCGTACAATTTCAATGCTCATTATTTAGAAATTTAGCGGTACATTTTAACAATTGTGTTGCTAAATTTTACATTAAATATGGATCATATTGATATTTTTTATGGATCATTCACACTTTTTTAAGGATTTTCTCCGAAGTTTTATGGAACATTTGGATGTTTTTTATGGAACGTTTTCCAATATTTTATGGATCATTTATTGGTTTTTATGTTCAAAAGTATGTTTGCCCTCAGCCTAGGCAGTCAATAATTTTAAGCTCTGTTTTAAATTATTTAAGCTCCAGCTTCCAGCTCTTAGAAAACGAAACATCATTAGATTTATACTGTAATGATTCACTCTTACAGTTTTCATCCTGGTTTTGTCTGTTGATTTGATTTGTTTGAATTGGTTTTCAGCTCTTTGGTGTTGGCAGTCGCGAACGGTCAATTTTGCTCATGCTCATGCTCTAAGTTTATTTTCAGCTTTTCGATGATGGAACGTCCTCAGTTTTATATTATAATGATCCACCATTTTGTTAAGGCTTCAGGAAAATCCAATTATAATGCATGATAACACTTAATCATTTAAAACCATGGTTGCATCACTTATCACAATCCTGATCCAACGAACTCAACTTACTAACAAAATCTCCTTTCCTGGGTCTTTTGTTGGGGTGCAGAAGTAAACACGGCCCACAAACAACAAAGGTCACTCTAATATTCCTTCCCTACTCCCACCTGATGCAAGGACGTGGCCGGCGCCGTTATTGATCTACAAAATATGGAGTCACTGAAACTTGTACAATGAGAATGGACGGTCACTCCCAGGCCCATTCAGTTGATTGATTCTACAATTTCCCTGATTCTGATCAATCACGGAGTAGCAACCATTGATATGTGCAGCCAGTCTAAGCTAAGCTAAGCTAAGCTAAAAGAAGAATTAGGAACTTAGCTTAAGAATCAGTGGAGTTTTTATAAATTCGAGTCGAAGAACAAATAAATTACTTTTTATGACCAATAACATAATAGTTAAATTAATAAAATATAAAATGATATCTGTTTTGAAATTGTTAACACCTGTTGAAACATAAGCCAAGAAGATTTTGTTATTTTCTTATTATTTTTGTAAGTTTATCTATTTGTAGCCAAGTTATCATTTGCGTTATACATACTTAATCTTAACCTAAAATCTAGACTTACAGGAATTGAACCGAATACTCGCGGTCGTCTCGAGGTTAGTGGAGATTTACAATTTTATGGATGGAGAGAAGAAGAAGGAGATTTGAAACATGATTTACGATACAAATATTTGACTATTCCTTAAACATGAACTTATTTCTATTCTAATGCCAAGATGAATTATAGTAGTTAATTTGCTCCGGTATATGTTCTTGCGTTCTCTAGTTTTTTTTTTAAGGATTCCTCGGTCTCACGTAAATTTACAGAAGGTGCCTAAAAAATGGGTCGCCCGTTAAGGCTACTTTTGCTACGGTGCTTAGGGTGATAAATATGTAAACATATGTGCTTCTACAAAAAAAAAACAAAAATTGAACTTTTTTCACTTCATCTTACTTCATCTGCAGAAAATCTATTTCATTCTATATTTGCCGTTCCCATCTTGCTTACAGTAGCCGTAAAGTAGCACCTACCACTAACATATGTTACGCATTTTTACTTTCTCCTTTTCATCGCACAGTCCGAAAATTCCTGCAAGCTTGCACAACATGACCAGTGGCGCTGCCCGGGATGTCCCTCGTGACCATGTCCGCAGCCCCTGTAGCCACCGGGCATAATGCTTCCACACGCACACGTACTATACTTGGACCCGTTGCTCGAGCAGAACGAACAGCAATGATATACGCCATAGTGCGGTCGTAAGTTATGAATTCTCAGCACATATGGACAACCCTAAACAAAAGAAGAAAAACACGAAAACAAACGTTTCTCTCATAAACAAGAAAATTTACAACATCCGACCCTTACCTCAATAAGCTTCCCATCAACGGAAACCATCAGGCTCATAACACCTGCCCGCTCCGGCACAAACGACAACCCGTACGTCCCGTTGCGATTATCGGTCACATTGAGCGAAATTGTCCGAGCCTCGTCATCCCGGTAGCGAAGATCCGTTTGTATCATAATACCGCCGTGATTCATCGGTTTACCCTCGTAATCTTTGCTGACAAGCGACAGCTCAACCTTCCGGTGCACCTTGAGACACGTAAGCTCAGCGGCACAATTCTCCAGCGAGCACTTTCTCGGGTCGGCCTTCTGAGTCGTAATAATCCCGTACAGTGGAATACGGTTCTGCACCCGCGCACAGGGCGTCATCTCCTCCGGCAGGAACTCCAACGTGTCCGTCACCTTGAAGTCGAGCGCCCGGCTCGAACGGAGGCACTGCTCGAAGCGCTTCAGCAGGATGCTGACGAAAACTAAATTTTCTATCTCATTGCCCTCGTTGATGATCTCCTCGGCAAAGTCAATCGCTGTGCGTGCGTTCTGCGAGCGTTGCTCTGATGGATGGTGTCAATGAATTGCATCGGTGCGGAATTGGGAAAGCAGGGAAAAGACAAAATGCAAACGATTATGGTGGGTTTTGCCAGGAGATGGAAGTAATTTGTCTTGCCACTTGAGCGGAAGAAATTGGTAAATTATGTCGCAATAATCTGGGCCATCGAGTGCTATTATAGTAAGCTGTACGAAATGTAATGAATGAACGAGGAAACACCACGGGAAACAGCACTGTAAACAATAAGTGTTTGTCGTTTATTTTCACGATTAAGTTTAACTACGTTGATAAGAATTGCTGCTTCGAATACTCCCATTCAAGGTATAAAAAAACTGTCATTTGTCCATCAGAACTTCACTTAAACTTTGACAACAAAACTTATCCAATTGCCATCAGTTTTCCAGTAAATTGTCTTTTATTATTTAACGTGTGCCTTTTATCCCATTCACCTTTAATATAAAAGTAAATTGTCGTACTTACCTAGATCCACCTTCTGTGCCATAATCATTTCCATCTTCGCCTCCCGCACGTCACCAATCTGTTTCACCAGTGTCTTCCGGTGGTCCTCCAGGGCAGCGATATACTCGTCCACATACCCTTCCACGTCCCGTTGGACCGCTTCGCACTTGCTATTGATCCTTATCGACATGTCATTGAGCCGTCCGATCGATTGCATGGCGTAGTCCTCCAGCGGTTTTGTCTGCTCGATGGCATTCTTCACAAACTTGCAGTAGACCTTGCCCGCCTTTGACGCCGACGTGTATTTATGGTCCCGGTGAATGAACGCCGTGCACTCATTGCATATCACTTGGTGGCAAGTGGTGCAGAATAATTTTAATTGATGTTCCGGATGCATGGGACACTTAATCGAGCGTGTCTGCGGATCATTCCGGTGGGACTTTTTTAACAGTTCACCTAGCGTACGGACCATGTGGGTGGACGTGTTGCGCTGCCGCTGGTGGGCTTCCTTGCAAAAGTTGCACAGTTTTAGCGAGCACGTCTGGCAGGACGACGTTGCCTGCTTGTGCCCGAAAGCGGACGTTTGAATATGTGTGCATGAGTGTGTTTGCAGAAGGATTAGATGAAATCCAAACAGGAAATTATTCTCGGGTTTTATCTTGGAATAGAATGCGGACAGATGTTCCATGTCAAACTGTTTAAGCGAGCTTTAAATCACTGAATCTATGAGTTCTGGTTGCAAATAAGGTAAAAAGGTAAATGCACATTTAATCCGGTTAATGGTTCCTAAACCGATGAAAATGGCAAATTATTGGATCTCTATAGCCGAGTGCGTTGGTACTAAGGTTTGCAATTATATTATTAATGAATGAATGAATTTAATGAACAAAAAAAATCCAAAAATTCGAGATGATGAAAAGTGGAAAAGTTTCATTGAAGATTTCTGATTTCACTAGACATCACTTTTAAAATTCATAACTCATGAACCAAGCATCGTAGAAAGAACGTTGAATAGTGATAAAGAAACTATCTCAGCAAAAAAATCTTTAAAATGTTTCCCACGGTGGAGGACAATCATAAAAAATCCATTTGACAATAAGTAATGCAAATTTTAGTAATATATTTTTTTCATCATGCTTCGATTCTTCTTAACTTTCTCTGGTGATAAGTTTAGCATGATGTATCTTACCGGTTTTGAGTTATAAAAAAACGGCTTGGAAAATTTTGGTTCATCTTCACATTTACCGTAGAAAAAAAAAAGGTTTCAGTTCAATGATTAGGAAATAATCTCAGAAATCCATAAAAATACAAACTGCAAAATGATTTCATGAAAATTTTCACGGTGAACATAAATTTCAAAGCAAACAGGGAAAATAATTTTCCGAGTGATGCATGTTTTTCAATTACTTTTCTCTAACTTGAAAATTTCTTATCTTCAGAATGGTATCTCTTACCGTTCTGGAGTATGTACCGAGATACTAATACTCGGTTATACTCCATTCTGATAAAATCATGAAACAAACAAGACGGCGATAATTTTCATAGCTTTCCTATAACTGGTCGTTAGTTTATTGGTCATATCTAAAAAAAAAAAAAAAACAGTAAAAGACACCGCTCTGAAATTGAAAAATGAAGAATATCAAAAGTAAAATTTGACAAACAATTCACTATGGTCCAAAACTGCAATTTAGAAGGAAACAAATATTTACAGGGTGCGTGACGAATTTTTGCAGTAAATGGCATATTTGAGAAAAAATACACCAGTTAGTTATTCTAGCAATGAATTTTGTGCGATTTATTTTCTTTAGCAACATGTGGAAGTTGTAAGTAAATTTATTCAAAAGAAATTGCCTTCCCTTTCGACGACTGTAGTTAGACGCTTCCGGAAACTGCAGTATGCACGTTTTAAAATGTTTCGATCCATAGATGTCTTAGCAACTTAAGTGTGGTGTGAGGGGTTCTATTGGTATCCCGTTGTACGACGCCCTATACAAAATAAACCAACGGATTGATATCGGGACTGTTTGGGGGCAAATTTCTTCCTCCCAAATTTACGAAATATTTTCCGTAAGCCATTTCTGTTGTTTATTAGCAGTATGAGCAGGTGCTCCGTCTTATAACTTTCCCAAGCCTTTTTTAATATTATACACTGTTCTTTCAGCTACAAAATGGTGAGTTGACAACCTGGAAGGAGCGGAATACCTAGCCCTGGTCCTCACAAGTTCCTACTTCACGCCTCCTCGAGTCATATGATAACAAAAGACTACCAGCTGAAACATGGACACAGCTGGTTGGCGTAGCCTGGGCAATGTTGCCAGTCCGGCAATAGCAAAGTGAAGAGGTGCGACGCGAACACTGGCGCGGTAACCATAGTACGGTGATAGAGGAAATGCTTCACCAAACCTGAGCGTCTGCTCACCATGGAGGTGCGGTTCAAAACGGCGTCTGTTCTCCATGTTAGGAGCGGCTGATCACCGTCCTAGTGCCAGCGTGGGGCTCTAAACAGAGCTGTGCACGATGGTCCCCCGGCGAGACAGGGGGTTGAGGCAGGCCCAACAAGCCGCCCTGGAAAAAAACAAAGTTGCAAATACCGAAGAAAGAAATACGGATCGGAACAATCGGCACAGACCTACGCGACGAAATAAGGACTACGATTGGAAACTCGGAACATGGAACTGCAAATCGCTCGGCTTCCCGGGTTGCGATAGGTTAATCTATGACGAACTTCAACCACGCAACTTCGAAGTCGTAGCACTGCAGGAACTTTGCTGGACGGGACAAAAGGTATGGAAAAGCGGGCATCGAGCGGCTACTTTCTACCAGAGCTGTGGCACCACCAACGAGCTGGGAACCGGCTTTGTAGTGCTGGGTAAGATGCGCCAACGCGTGATTGGTTGGCAGCCGATCAACGCGAGGATGTGCAAGTTGAGGATTAAGGGCCGTTTCTTCAACTACAGCATCATCAACGTGCACTGCCCACACGAAGGGAGACCCGACGACGAGAAAGAAGCGTTCTATGCGCAGCTGGAGCAGGTGTACGACGGCTGTTCGCAACGGGACGTCAAAATCGTCATCGGCGACATGAACGCTCAGGTAGGACGGGAGGCAATGTATAGACCGGCAATCGGGCCAAACAGCCTGCATGCCGTATCGAACGACAACGGCCAACGATGCGTGAACTTTGCAGCCTCCCGGGGTATGGTAGTTCGAAGTACCTTTTTCCCCCGCAAGGATATCCACAAAGCCACCTGGAGATCACCTGACCAACACACAGAAAACCAAATCGATCACGTTCTAATCGACGGGAAATTCTTCTCCGACATTATCAACGTCCGCACGTACCGCAGTGCGAACATAGATTCGGACCACTACCTAGTTGCAGTATGCATGCGCTCAAAACTCTCGACGGTGCATAACACCCGTCGAAGTCGAACGCCGCGAACCAAAATTGAGCAACTACGGAACGCCGGAGTTGCTCAGGACTACGCGCAGCAGCTGGAAGTTGCCCTACCCACGGAAGAGCAGCTTGGCGCAGCTTCTCTTGAAGATGGCTGGAGGGACATCCGTTCAGCCATAGGTAGTACTGCTATAGCGACACTAGGTACTGCAATCCCGGACCGAAGAAATGACTGGTTTGACGGCGAATGCAAACTGTTAGTAGAGGAGAAGAATGCAGCACGGGCGAGAATGCTGCAACACCGCACGAGATTGAATGTGGAGCGATACAGACAAGCGCGGAACAGACAAAACTCGGTTTTCCGAAGGAAGAAGCGTCAGCAGGAAGATCGAGATCGCGAGGCGATGGAAAATCTGTACCGCGTAAACGACACACGGAAGTTCTACGAGAAGCTAAATAGTTCGCGCAAAGGCTACGTGCCGCAAGCCGATATGTGCAAGGACTTGGACGGTAACCTTCTCACGAACGAGTGTGAGGTGATTGAGAGGTGGAAGCAGTACTATGACGAGCACCTCAACGGTGAAGCAGCAGAAAACAAAGGTGGCACGGCAACAGACCTTGGAGCACGCGCAGAAGACGACAGGCTACCGGCCCCTGATCTTCAAGAAGTTGAGGAGGAGATCGGTCGGCTGAAGAACAACAAAGCAACTGGTGTAGATCAACTACCAAGTGAGCTATTGAAATACGGTGGTGAAGCACTGGCTAGAGCGCTGCACTGGGTAATTGCCAAGATTTGGGAGGAGGAGATATTACCGGAGGAGTGGATGGAAGGTGTCGTATGCCCAATCTACAAAAAGGGCGACAAGTTGGATTGCTGCAACTACCGCGCGATCACACTGCTGAGCGCCGCCTACAAGGTACTCTCCCAAATTCTATGCCGCCGTCTGTCACCATATGCAAGAGAGTTCGTGGGGCAATACCAGGCGGGATTCATGGGTGCCCGCGCTACCACGGACCAAATTTTCGCGATTCGGCAGGTTCTGCAGAAATGCCGCGAATACAACGTGCCCACACATCATTTGTTCATCGATTTCAAATCCGCATACGACACAATCGATCGAGATCAGCTATGGCAGATTATGCACGAGTACGGATTTCCGGATAAACTGACGCGATTGGTCAAGGCGACGATGGATCGAGTGACATGCGTTGTTCGAGTATCGGGGACACTCTCGAGTCCCTTTGAATCTCGAAGGGGGTTACGGCATGGACTTTCGTGTCTGCTGTTCAACATCGCGTTAGAAGGTGTGATCAGAAGAGCTGGGATAGACACGAGTGGCACGATATTCAGGAAGTCCATCCAGCTCCTTGGTTTCGCCGATGACATTGACATTATGGCACGGAACTTTGAGATGATGGCGGAAACGTACATCAGACTGAAGGCTGAAGCTAGACGGATTGGACTTGCCATCAACGCATCAAAGACAAAATATATGAAAGCAAGAGGTTCTAGGGAAGACAATGTTAGCCTCCCACCCCGAGTTCAGATTGACGGTGACGAAATCGAGGTGGTCGATGAGTTCGTGTATTTGGGCTCACTGGTGACCGCCGAAAATGATACCAGCAGAGAAATTCAAAGACGCATTATGGCAGGGAATCGTGCCTACTTTGGACTCCGGAGGACGCTCCGGTCGAATAAAATTCGCCGCCGCACGAAGTTGACTGTCTACAAGACGCTGATTAGACCGGTGGTCCTTTACGGCCGCGAGACCTGGACTATGCTCGTGGAGGACCAACGCGCCCTTGGTGTTTTCGAACGGAAGGTGCTGCGTATCATCTACGGTGGAGTGCAGATGGATGACGGAACGTGGAGGAGGCGAATGAACCACGAATTGCACCAGCTGCTGGGAGAACCATCCATCGTCCACATTGCAAAAATTGGGCGACTACGGTGGGCTGGGCACGTCGTAAGAATGCCGCACGACGACCCAGTGAAAATGGTTCTAGAAAGCGACCCAACAGGAACAAGAAGAAGAGGCGCGCAGCGGACAAGGTGGATCGACCAAGTAGAAGGTGACCTGCGGACCCTTCGCAGACTACGAGGCTGGCGAACTGTGGCCATGGATCGAGTAGAGTGGAGACGACTTCTTCGGACAGCAGAG